CTCTGGTGCAAATTACTGACCTCTGTCATCATTTTAAGTGGGGGAACTTGCACAATCGGTGGCTGACTAAATACTTTTTTGCCCCACTGTAAGTTGATATAAGCCTTCTCGTCCAACATCACGCGTGCTCGTGGAAGAATGGTCAAAAATTCCCATAAACACTCCCCTAAACTCTTCCCAGAAGAATCAAATCCTATGGATTAAGAACAGGATATTACTCAAGTTCATACACATTTGAAGGCAGATGAGTGAATACATGCAATATATTCAAACTTTAAACCATAGCATTTTCATTCTTTCATTCTCAGAGCAGAAATGTTACAAAAAGCCTCAAAACTGGAAAATGTTCTGCGCAGTCAAAATCTTTACGTAGGTCTACTTCCTGTTATCCAAGTGTACATGTAATTTTTACCTGTCTGTTCTTATTTGTATGTATGTGTTTTATGTATATATGTATACATGCCTACTATATATTTTGGCTATGTATTATTCTTATATTTTGTTTATGTTTAAAACATCTAAAAGAAAATCAATAAATACATTTTTGTAAGAAAGAAAAAAGATAACAAAACCTGACTGAATATAACAAAAAACAAAGTGAAAAGAATAAGGAAATTACACAAAACAGATATGTTGGCAAAGTTAGCAAAGGGAGGAAATACTTGCAGTAACATACTTGTTCTGGATACTGAAGAGCACAGGGGTAGCTCGATGTTTTCGCAGTATTGTGAGGGGCTAAACCTCCTCAAGCAGTGTGTAGGTAGCTGCTCGATATTGTGCCTCCACCTGCTAGCCTCTCTCCTCCTTCCTCTCCTCATCTCTGCTCCTTGCTTGCATCAGCTTAAATAAGAGCATCAGCAGAGTAATGAGTTCTCCTGACTAAGAGATCAAACTGGTGCATCCATCGTCCCCTGATTAATAACTGTCACCACACACACTGGGGAATGTTACCCATCTCCCAGAAGCAGAAATCAGGGGACCAAGAGGCAGTGTGCATAGATGTGCATTCATTATGTGTTTGTACTACACACATTAATGGGAGCGAGGAGTAAAAATGGCTGAGAGACATCAAGAAAGACTGGAGAATTTGTGGTGTGTATTGTACACCACACGTGCACTCCAGCCTAACCCCGAGCTTGCCAGAAACTGCAGCTTATTAAGGCTAATTGGCTTCTTTATGGACCCTCAGCTCATTATCTGGACATTTTCAGAACCCTTATAGGATCTGTTTGGCCATCATGTGAATCTGGAATATATACCACACGTCTCGGGGTTATGATTAAGCTCTTATCTGGTATTTCTGGTACTGTATTACTAAATTCACCGCACTTTGTATAATGCAATCTTATATTGCAACTGTTTTCACTGCAATGTACATTTTTAAAACTATTTCTATAACAACACTAATTCAATGTACTTCGTATCATATTAATGATGGATAAGCATCTTTGTGAGATTCAAATCACACTTACATAAGAGCTTTACAGCAAATATTACTACATTATTGTTTATAATATTGCAGAGTCTTTACCACTCCAAATGCAAGGTCTTAAATAATCAGGCCCCATCTTATCTTAATGACCTTGTAGTACCATATCACCCTATTAGAGCACTTCGCTCTCGCTCTGCAGGCCTACTTGTTGTTCCTAGAGTATTTAAAAGTAGAATGGGAGGCAGAGCCTTCAGTTTTCAGGCCCCTCTTCTGTGGAACCAGCTTCCAGTTTGGATTCAGGAGACAGACACTATCTCTACTTTCAAGATTAGGCTTAAAACTTTCCTTTTTGCTAAAGCATATAGTTAGGGCTGGACCAGGTGACCCTGAATCCTCCCTTAGTTATGCTGCAATAGACATAGGCTGCCGGGGGATTCCCATGATGCATTGAGTTTTTCCTTTCCAGTCACCTTTCTCACTCACTATGTATTAACAGACCTCTCTGCATTGAATCATATCTGTTATTAACCTCTGTCTCTCTTCCACAGCATGTCTTTATCCTGTCTTCCTTCTCTCACCCCAAACAGTCGCAGCAGATGGCCCCGCCCCTCCCTGAGCCTGGTTCTGCCGGAGGTTTCTTCCTGTTAAAAGGGAGTTTTTCCTTCCCACTGTCGCCAAATGCTTGCTCATAGGGGGTCATATGATTGTTGGGTTTCTCTCTGTGTATTATTGTAGAGTCTACCTTACAATATAAAGCGCCTTGAGGTAACTGTTGCTGTGAATTGGCGTTATATAAATGAAATTGAATTGAAAAAATACAATATAAATTGAAAATATATGTTGTTAGTGTTTGTAATTATCTTTGTGACACAAGCCTTCCTGTCTGTGCTCATAAACAAACATGTTTCTCATCGATGGACCACAAAACAAGACACTTTTTCGTCAGTGGTTTATTTATGGAATGGAGTGATTAACAGCTACAGTGAGTTCATCAGTTAACAGAAAAGGAAAAATACTGACTAATGAATCCCTACAGCCTACAGTATGAGTCGGTGTACTAAACGTACCCACGTGTTGCCTGATTCTGTCTTCTGTCAGAGTAGCAGCTTATTTTTACTGTTCTTAGGCAATACAAGCCTGTGCTAATAAAAATACACTTAGTGTTACAACCTACAGTATAACATGTCAGAAAGTAACACAGTATACTTGCTTGCTTGATTGATTGATTGATTGTGGATAAGGACCAAAACATGATTGTGGCCAGTCACAAAAGAATGAGCAAATGCTGTGAACACAAATCTTTCCACACAGTAGGAGTGGGTGATCTGAACCAAAAAAAAAAAACCTGACACCAGACAGCTCTTTCTAACAAGAAATTTAAGCTATTACACTAAACCAGACTTCACATGGCGCTCATAGTAGAAAGCTCACTGAGGTTCAATTCAATTTCTAATTCAATAATTTAGTTTTGTTAATATGACACTAAATCACAGCAGCAGTTCCCACAAGGTCCTTTATACTGCAAGGCATACAATAACACAACTCAACAATCATATGACCCCTTATGAGTAAGTGTTTTGTTGACAGTGAGAAGGAAACAATCCCTTTTAACAGGAAGAACCTCTCTAGCAGTACCAGGCTCAGGGAGGGGCGGCCATGTGCCACAACTAGTTGGAGGTCAGGGAAGGAAGACAGGACAAAGACACACTGTAAAAGAGAGGGTCAGATATTAATATCAACTAATGATTAAATGCAGAAAAAAAGGTGAGTGAAGAGGAAACACTCAAACATTGCATCACGGCAGGCCCCCAGCAGTCTAGGAATATTGCAGCGTAACTAAAGGAGGATTCAGATTCTCACCATATGCTTTGTCAAAAACTAAAGTTTTTAACCTGATCATAAAAGCTGAGAACGTGTCTGTCTCCTGACTAACTTTAGAGATATTGAACAAATGAAAAAAGCAGTTCTTAAAGAAGTTTATACTAAAGGACAAAAAATTACTCCAAGATTATTTACAGTGTTACTGGAGGCCAAAGCAAAGCTATCCAGACTAAGCATCTGGTTTGATACCGAAAGATTTTTAGGGCCGAGTACAATAACCTCAGTTTGATCTGAATTAAGAAGCAGAAAGTTAGCGGCCATCCAGGTCTTTATGTCTTTAAGACATTCCTGCAGTTTAACTCATTGGTGTGTGTTATCTGGCTTCATGGACAGATAGAGCTGGGTGTCATCTGCATAGCAGTGTAAATGTATGCTATGTCTTCTAATGATGCTGCCTAAGGGAAGCATGTATAATGTAAACAGAATTGGTCCTAGCACTGAACCCTGTGGAACTCCATAATTAACCTCAGTGTGTGAAGAGGACTCTCCATTTACATGCACAAACTGGAGTCTATTAGATAGATATGATACAAACCACTGCAGCGCAGTACCTGTAATACCTGCAGCATGTTCTAATCGCTCTAATAGGATATTATGGTCGACAGTATCGAACGCTGCACTGAGGTCTAGCAGGACAAGCACAGAGATGAGTCCACTGTCAGAGGCCATAAGAAGATCATTTGTAACTGTAAATGCAACACTGGCACGGCTTTGTTGAAGAATTTGTATTTTATCAGTCAGGGGTTTGGTGGCTGTGCCCAAGCTTTTAAATGTTCAAGATAAAACTATATTGATATAAATAACACTGTCATGATCTATACCTGTGATGAAATCATTTTGATATATTGCTAAAATTCAATATATTCTCCAGTCTCCTGCAACACAGTGGTGCAGCGGTTAGCACTGGTTAGAATTGTGGTTACTCTGGATTCCTCCCACAGTCCAAAGACATGGGGGTTATGTTAATATTACATAAAGTCCTTAAAGCATATAGAAAAAATACTGTATTAAAGCATGGCCAACTCTGGTATGAAGTTTAAAGTGTTTTGAATACAGTAAATGCCATTCTCCACTAAACCAACATGCTAATACGAAGCCAGTACAAAAATCATCCTGGACTTTGATTAGTGCAAAAAACTAAGGGTATAAAATTTCATTTTCAGTTTTTTTGAAAATCAATCTTTTCATTTTAATTGTAGAGAGATTTGTCCAGTTTCTGCAGACAAGTCAGTCATTGTATTTGTCATAGCAAGTAACAGTTAAGTAGACTAGCAACTGCTAATTTCATATAATGTGCAACAAGTTATTTCAGAATACTTGCCCCCATTTTATGTAAAAATGTCATGAAAATACAACAAAAACCAACTGAATGATCTGTAAGCAACAAAACAGCATAAAAGAACAAAGGCCTCGATTCTATGCAGCTGATACCTCTTTTAAGTGAATGTGGAAGCCATCCTTCTCATGGATCTTTCCTGTGAATATTTCCAACCACTGTACTACATACAGACATACATATACAGTGGGGACATATAGGAAATGAATTATTTATATGTCCTGTAAAGGCTAAAAGTGGGTCAGTGTACTGAGAGGTACAGAACGAACAATCTTGACTATAACCCCCCCACCAAAAAAAAAAAATATCAGTAAAATTTAGTTTCATTTTAATAATCTCTAAATTAAAAACTGCCTTAACTCAAAATGGCTAAACCCCCCATAAAATGAGAGGTAGCAAAAATTAGTTAAAGGTAACATCTCTGGTTGTTCATGCTAAAGCACATAGTTAGGGCTGGATCAGGTGACCCTGAATCCTCCCTTAGGTATGATGCAGTAGGTGTAGGCTGCTGGGGGATTCGCATGATGCATTGAGTTTTTCCTTTCCAGTCACCTTCATCACTCACTATGTGATCATACATCTCTCTGCATTGAATCATTACTAATACTGATAATAATGTGTAAGTGTATGCCAACCAAAGCCCAACAGCCTGAGCCAAACTTTCAACAGGTAACAAAAAGAGGGATAAGCAGTCAGTCTTACAGCCTTAATTTCAACATATTTATGTTTGTAAAGACGAATCAACGTTTCTTTGAAGTCTCTTTGGACTGAATTTCAATATTGTTTTGCGTTTGTATTCATACAAAAAACAGTAAAAGAAAGATTGTGCGTGTGTGGGATTTGTGTTAATCTGTGGAACTGTAGCCTCAAGTTTATATTGTTAACTGGTAACTATGTGACACTGAGTTTTAGGTCATTTTACAGAGTAACAATGTAAAGTAACGAGCAGTGTAACAAATCGCTTTCTCCTGTCAGTTATGAATTAACATATATACATAATGTATGATATATGACTTTTTTCATTACCTCCCCCAACGCTCTTTAAAGGTCAGCAGTTCAGAGAGTCCCTATATGA